GAGGCAGTGCAGTGTGACCAGGCAAGGGTTGCAGGGTAGCTCAAACCTCAGTAAGCCTGATGCTCAAAACTCCCAAATCCCCTGGCAGCAGGGACTCACCTCTCAGCTCCTTCCGCTGTTTCAAGAGACAACCAGTGCTACAAAGTATCCCATAGCTGAGGATGTTCTTGTTTGTTCATTTAAGCTCCATCCATGCTACTGGCACAAGCAGCAGGAGAAACTGGTCTAGGAGGATCTGGATCACTAATCAGTTCCAGGAACTGCTGAATTGATCTGAGCAGCAGAATCTCCTGTGTGAGAGCTGGCAAGAAGCATAAGGAGAAATACTGGAGCAGTTTGGGATGGTTTTGTTGTCGTAGTTAGGGAAGGGCAGACTGGGTGTAAAGTCACTGTAGCTGCCCTTGGAGCTAGAGACTGATTGCTAAAAAATTAGGAATATTTTCTCCCTAGGAAAAATTCTGGGTTTATTTGCCCTCATTTGAATAGGAGATGGATTCAGCAGTCACTTGTTTGTGTTACAGCCAAGTGTCAGCCATCAGTCTTGGGGGGTTATATGTTGGGGTCTCTCTGTAATTGCTGAACCTGTTTATCCTTGGTGTATATGACAGCTTTGGTGGGAGGGTGAACATGACAGCTTATTCTCCTTCGAGCTCACCTCTGAAAAGCCAAAGCCTGCTCGTTGAATCGAGGGAAGGGTTTATTCTGGGGCTGGTTTGGGGTTTTATGTTTCTAAGGCTCTGCCCTTTCCCCCATTCAATGTAATTCTGACTTTTAGGGTTTGTTTTAACTGCAGATTCAGGGCAATATTACTCCTCACGCCATTGTCATCCTGCCTAAAACAGACGGGATGGAGATGCTGGTGTGTTATGAGGATGAAGGTGTCTATGTCAACACCTATGGACGGATAACTAAGGATGTGGTGCTCCAGTGGGGAGAAATGCCTACTTCTGTGGGTAGGTCAAACCTTCCTCTTCACCTGCTTAAAATACAAATGACAAGTAAGATGAGGATGCTGAGGTCGAGTCGTTTGGGCTTTTGTTAATCAAGGACCAACTGTCGCCATATAAGAGATGCAGTTGCCAAATTTCTACCATTCAGTCCTGTGCAATAATAAGAGCAAGTGACTTCTTGAAGATCTGAGCTCTGGTTCATCCAAAGTATAAGGTGATATCTGGTTCATCTGAAGTATAAGGTGATATAAGCTGTGGCACTGGTGGGTACAGTGTTGAGTGGAAGAGGGCCTGACGAAGTATAAGGTGATATAAGCTGTGGGTACAGTGTTGAGTGGAAGAGGGCCTGAGTGCAGAGCCAGGAGCACTTGGGTTGTTGTTCTGGCTCTGCTGTTGCTCAGCTCCACGACCCATGGAGGCAATCCACTGCCCAGCTCCTCACCTGCAGAAATCAGAAGTGGTGATACTTCTTCTGTTTAAATCACCCCACAATTTCTGGATGAAAAGTGCTATGTAGAGGCAGTGATCCCCATGGGCACACGCCTGGCTGCCTGAGCCTCAGGTGGGCATTTGCATTGATCTAGATAACCTTTGAATAACTGATGAGAGCTTTTCTGCTCGTTGTGCAATATTTAGCTCAACACACGTTGTAACACCTACCAAATGCTTCCTTTTTGACAGCCTACATTCATTCCAATCAAATAATGGGCTGGGGAGAGAAAGCTATTGAAATCCGGTCAGTGGAGACGGGACATTTGGATGGAGTATTTATGCACAAGCGAGCTCAAAGGTTAAAGTTTCTATGTGAAAGAAATGATAAGGTAAGGCCACTTCAAAGCTTGTATCCGTGCTTTAAGCTACAGCCAGCTACTTTCAGACTTCAATTCTGGTTTGTCTTGAGGTTAGTACCTAATCTGAAGGTCCTGTTTAGTAAGCAGTGCCCATAAACCCACTCCTCATTAATTCTCGCCAGCGGATGCAGACCTCAGCCTGTGGTGGGTAGATCTGCAAAATCTGCTTTGGCTTGGCTTGACCTTCTCCCAGGTCTTGCATCTGAACATGAACAATTCAGTCTACCAAGTAAATTTTGCAAAAACTGAGACATGGTAGCTCTAAGGATGTGTAAGCGATCCTGGTTTGAGCTCTGGTGCGTTTTTAGTTTTGTGATCTTAAAACGACTTTCTCTGGGGAGCCCCACCTATTTGTGGACAGCACTGAGGACTGCTCTGAGGTGACTGTTGTGTAGGTGTTGAGCAAGGCATGCAGGAATGAAGGAAGGAGACATTTCTGGAGTCCTTGCATGGAAGAGATGGTTGAATGCCAAGTCTGTTTCTGCTGTTGGTATTTCCTCATCTCACAAGGTTCCACCATCAGGTCCACACAGCAGGGAGCACAATCACGAGCCACGTGAAGAAAGTGATTCTCTGTCCTCAGAGCAGGGTTTAATAACATGCAATAAATAAGGTTTGAGGCCACGATCAGTTCATTGAACAGCTGCTTGTCAGTCAAGCATTGCCCTAAGCTGTTGTGTGGCTGGAGCCTGCAGAAAAAATGTATCCTACCCTTGGCAGTTGAGTATGCCATGGGAAGCTGCCCAAGAAGCTGAATTTAAGTTGCCCAAATACCCTTAGTTTGCTTTTTCTTACTTTTGAGTACTTGACTCTGCAGGTTTTATACTGGGGTTTTTTTTTTAAAGATTCTTCTGGTTTGCTCCTACTGATTTTCTTTCCTTTTCTAAGAAAACTGGAAAAAAACCCCACCTCAGTCTTTCTAAAATACTGGAACCATTTGATCACTGGTGGGTTTGAAATACTACAGACAGTTGTTTCTGGAGAAATGGTTAATGGTGAAAGTCATGTGAAGATTTTGAGTAGTTTTCTGTTTTCAAAAGGACAGAGGCTTCACGTTGTCCCCTTCAATATTTGCAAAATATAACTAACTGATTTTTTAAGACTTCCATCAGGGTCAAATGCTGGTGGATCCTAACAGAAGCACCAAAATTCATATTCTTCACACAGAGCCCTGATAAATTTCTGTCCTTTGAGCATGTTGAAAGAGACTAGTTTTCCCAAGCTTTATTTTCAGAACCAGCTGAAATACCAGGACTAACTTTTCCAAAGAAAACCATTTCAAGCTCCCATGCAGGATATTGACCCGAGTGGTTAACGTTTAGCAAGATCCAAACCACTGACAGCCCTTTTATTCATATTGCATAATAAATAGTGGCATGGCAGTAAAATGTGATGAACTCAGTATTTTTAAGGTGTTCCAAACCTTGCTCTCCTTGGTAGTGATAGCAAGGGAGGTTTTATTACTGTGTTTACTGGTGGGTGGTTCCATTTGATCCAAGTCTGGTGTGGCTTAGCTCCAGCCCCTGAGCTCTGCAGAAAACCAGAACCCGGCAGTGGATCTGCAAAACAATTCTTCTGTCAGCCAGAGAAAACAAGCAGGGACGAGGGAGGGTTTAGGCAGAGGAATCCATGGGGTGTGGGACAGCTCCTGCTTTCCTCACTCACTGAGACAATCAGCACATTTTTCCTTATGATAGTAAAAATTATTATTAAGGGGTTGTTGTTGTTGTTTTCTGCTTCCACGCAGGTGTTTTTTGCATCGGTGAGATCCGGCGGCAGCAGCCAAGTGTTCTTCATGACGCTCAACAGAAACTCCATGATGAACTGGTAACAGAGGAGCACTTGGCACTCACCCCCATGGCATTATTTCTAATGTAAAGGACGTTAAACACGAGGACTAACACTGTAGAGGCAGATGTGGAGGGACACGGCTCCCCACGCCCCCCTGGTGCCCCCAGCCCCGGGGCGGGTGCCGCGGGCAGGGACGGACTTTCGCGCTTGGACCCCCCGAGGTCTCCTGATTACGCTGTGTTATAGTGGGTTATGAGTTCTCCTTTATTTTATTTTTAATTTTCCTTTCTCCCCTACTTTGTAAGAACGGGGGAAGAAGCAGTGTCAAAAAAAAAGAAAAAAAAAGAAAAAAAAAAAGTCTGTTTTTAATTCTGTCTGCCTGCTAGCATCAAATATATAGTATGTTGTAAAGTTACCGATTAAATCTGGTGAGAGACAGCACAATAAATGTACCTTTTATCTTTGTGATGAAGGCCATAACCGTATAGCTGGGTAATTTTAGAAATCTTTTGCCTTCACCAACATTTACATGTTGCTTTTGGCAGCAACGGCTTAACGGATTTTTAAAGAAGATAAAAAAATAATAGGTTTTTTTTCCCCTCTTTTGGGAAATGGATTTTAAATGGCTAAACTACTAGCCTTAGACTAATAAAAATCAGCTACCATTTTTGTCAAGTCTGTCAATCCATATTTCTATATGGATCTTCACATAATGGTGTGTCTTGATAAGGGACAGAGGTGCCGTTTGTTGTTGCTCCGGAGGTGCCCCCGGGGCTTGGCCAGAAGGGGCCAGGATGGGGGGCCAGAGGAGGAGGAGGGGGCGGCGGAGCGGTCGGAGCAGCCGCGGGAGCCCGGAGCTGGTGCGTGGGGACAGCGGAACAAGCTCCCCTCCCCGGGGCTGGGCCGGGCTTGTAAAGAGCTTAAAAATATATATATGTGTGTGTGGTTTCTTCGGCCGAGGGTCTGAATCTCTCTACTCGTTTTCCGCCCCCTCCGCTCCCTAGGAATTACCCAACATACAGTGGAAGAGACAACATCTGTGCCGAACCGTGTGTGTGTGTGTTTAGTTCAGGTTGAATCGTGTCCTTATAAACTCTGCTCAGTTGATTTCCATTTCTCGGCACGTATCTGGGGTTTTCTTTCTCAGTAGCTGCAAGCATGGCCGCCTGTGGTGTTGGGGTGTCGCATAACAAGGTCTGTGTTGCTGGTTTTAACCTACCTCGTTTCGGTTGGGGTTTGTTTGGGTTTGGTTTTTGGGTTTTTTTTGTTGGTTGGTTTATTTTTCTTTGATTTTATTTTCCGTTCCGCTGTCGATCACAGCGCTGTTACCTCCAGCGACATATAGAGAGCTTAACTGGCAATCTTGGTGTACTCAGTAACGATGGCTTTATTAAAAAATCATTAAATCAACAGGACTTGGTCAAACTTGAATCTTTATCGAGGGTGAGAGACGATGTGGGGCGGTGGGGCTGGGTCAGGATGGGCCACCCTTGCCCAGAGCATCCCGTGGGTAGGTGTGGTACCAGTGGGCATTGCCTGTGGTGGGACCCCTGGCAGGGCTCGGCGTGCAGAGGAGCGTGGGAAGGAGGAGTTTTGCAGGTGTCTTCTTCAACCACGGGGCACTGGGCACCTTCTTGCCAGCCCAGCACAGCCCCAGGCAGCAGCAGCCTGCCCAGCACCTGGCTGAGCACAGTGACAGCCGTAACACCACCGTGCTGGAACTAAAACCCCACACAAGTCCCATCACAGGCACCGATTGCCACCAGCTCTTTGTATTTCCACTGTGGTTAAAATACAAATAAAATAAAACCCAGAGGTTTTTACCATGTTGCAAAACTGAGAACTGGCTTCTTGGAGTTTTTTGTTTCTTTCCCCTTGAAGTGATGAACACACAGCTTTGAATGTTGGGGGGGGGAGGGGGTTTAATGTGGGTTTGTGACAAAGGTGAAGGGAATCATTGTGTTTAAACATAAGATAAATGTATCCTTTGAAACAAACAGCATTAGAAGTCAATATTAACACAGTCTTGTCTAGAGTGTGGATGTAGCGTAGAGCAAACACCTTCCTGCTGCCAGCCACAACAAACCACAAAACTTCAACATTGGGCCATGCTTTTTACATTTTTCTAAACAAAATCTAGGGTGGTAACTGTTAGCAGGGCATGGAGGTAACGTGGCTTTGCAGGGCTCCAAGTCGTGATGCCCTTGGCCTGGGGGGTCGTGGGAAGGTGGTGGGTTTGGGCAGGGTGGGTGTTGAGGGCACAGGGCACATCCCTTGTGATCCTGCCCAGCCCCAAGCAGTGGCTGTGGGATGTCTCAACAGACCATCACCCCCTGAAAACTTCTGCTCTTTTACAAAATCACCCCATTATTATTATAAAGACGTACTTTCCCCTCCAAATATTCCTAGCCTTGGTTTGCTTGCCTTTTGTTGTAAGTAAAATGCCCCTGTGGTTGATCAATGCTATCAGAAACTACTTAGTTTTAGTGTTTAAAGAAATAAAACCTGGGCTCCTTTTAAAACCCTGTTTCTGGGAGTTTTGACCCAGGAAGGGAAACTTGTTTGTTCAGCTGAGCAGGAAGAAAAAGAGAAATAATTTCTGTGCATGCAGGTGTCACTTGAGCCTGTTGCAGATTCAATTATTTACAGAGTTGCTGTGAAATATTCCGTGAACTTCAGGGACGTGTGATACCCTCAGTGGTCAATAAAAGCCCCACAGCTGGATGAGGCCGTGGGGAGATGCTGGGGTTCCTGAGGTGGAGGGTGCTCCAAGGTAAGGCTGTAGCAGCAACTCACGGGCATTTAATGTATTTTCAAACCAGTTTCAGAAATAATGTCAAATGGTGGTTTTTTTCTTGTTATGAGGTAGGTTTTGGGTTGTTAATACTACGTGTTTTGGGACAGAAAGGGGATGCCTGAGCTTGGTCTCAGAGCTGGAAATGGTTGAAGTTGGGCTGCAATCCCTGGTCCTGACTGAGCCCTCTCAGGTCCCTTGCAGCTTGTGCAGAAGAGGTTTGCTTCCCAGTTTTTCTTGTCTGGGAGATGCTGCACCACATAGAGCTGTGGGGGGTGGAAGGGGCCCAGTTAGGTTTAATGCCACCAGTTTTTGCTGGAGGGGTCCAAGGCCAACATACCAGTATCTTTACAACTGTGCTGTAAATGCACCGTTTTGCCTCTCAATTGTGTTTTGTCAGCCTGAAGCTCCTGTCCCATGGGTGGCCCCAGCACTGCTGCCCACCCCAGCTGCCATGCTGGTAGAGACAAAATTAACATATCCTCTGTTCTTGTTGTGCCAGCTTCTGATGTGCCTCATCAGCCTGCTCTTACCTGGACACTTTTTTTTTCCACTTTTTGTTTTTGTTTCAGTTTATGTTTTCTTGTTTGGTTGGTTTTTTTGAACATCAAAGCTGCCTCCAGGTGACCCAAAGGCAGTAAAACAGGTGTGCAGGTTGCCCCAGCCACAGAGAGAGCCTCACTGTCCTGATGGCGTCTTGAAATTACTTTCACTGATGTGACAGCATGTTCAGTTGTTCAAATCAAAGCTTGACCATAAACTTTAACCCAGTGCTTGTATCGTGTAACATTAGATTTAGCAACAGATCCAGTTATAGCAGACACAATATAAAGGAGGCAATAAGCAGGGCAGTTCTGCACGGGGATAGCACTACATGGCATTCTTAGACTTCACTAATAAGTAACATACTTAGCAATGATGCTAGCAGTGTTGTTTGCAAATAATGTAACTTATGCCCCTCAGGAAAGGTTAGGATTCGTGCCACAAGGTGCAGTCACCCAGGGTTAAGGGCCGGATGCTGTTTAGGATTCCTGGCATTTACTTGTTCTGTGCATTCCAGTGATGAGCAGCTACAGGAGCAGTTTGGGGCAGCCTCTTACTGGGAGTCCTGGAGAAAAGCCACAACACCCCATGGCAGCCTGCAGTTCTGTCCTGAAAACAGTGACATTTCTGCAGTGCTTTCCCTGGGAAGGGCAGTGATGCCCTCAGGTCCAGGTCACCTGGACCCACAGCAGTGCTCGACCCACATCTGTCATCTGCATCTGTCACCTCTGCATCACACCAGGTTCCTGCATAACTGGATGAATCCACCTGGCTGAGCTGCTGTGTTTGCCCTGGCAAGAAAAGCCCTGTGCATACAAGCTTTATGAAGCCCACATGCTGTTGTCACCCTCGGACATGTCCAAAGATCATCTCAGCTCGGACAACAGAAAGTACAAACAAGCTCCAGGTTGGTGACGCTGGGGTCCAAGCAGTGAGGATGAAGATGGCAGGGCTGGCCCTGTGGGGAAAATGCCCATGTGCCAGCTGCCAGCTCCTCTTTGCCCTTTTGATCTCTGTGCCCTTGGTCAACTCACTTAATTACTGCCTGGCGAGGCTCACCAGTGTGGGATGGGTCAGTGTTGCTCCTGAGCTGCTGTGCTAGTATCTGCACCCTGAGGTCCCACCACCAGCTGTCAAACTTGCTGGAGATTAGACCGGCTGATCATCATTCATCCTGGTGGAGTCCAGCACGTAGGAGTGTTGTGCTTCAGTTTGCCAAGCAAACAGGCACGGTGTGAAGCTCTGACAGCCCCTTTGGGAGGTCACTGCAGCAGGAGGCAGATTTACACTCTGACCTTTTCCCTCTGTGAGCCTCAGGAACAGCCTTCAGCATCCAGACCCCTGGTCAGAAAAAACAAGGAGTTTGAACCTGTTAGTGTCACCAAGAGCTAGATACCTCCTCAGACCACCCAGGGCAGGGCTCTGGAGGTGTAGCATTGCCCAGCTGTCATCAACTGGGGGCTGTACATGAGAGGTGAGAAAGCCCTGGGCACTGGCTCCCAGCATCCAGCCCAGCAGGGAGAGTAAAAGGGGACAGGAGGGGATAGGAGAGGCCTGGGATAACTTCATGCCTTTTCCCAGCAGACCTGGCCAAGGGAAGCTGGTGGCCATGAGGATTCTAGCCTTGGCATCCTGTTTCCATGGAGGATGAAGGGCCATTCCTTGGGAAGAGGGCAATGCTCACCCACACCTCCCCACTGCTGCCCCAGCCACCCCCCACCCTTGCTCCACATCCCCTCTCCAAGAAGCCAGATTGAGGAAAGGTTCTGCTCTGGAAGCAGCAGTGAGGAGGACATGATAAGCTACAAGCCATGGAAAGGCCACCCTCCTGTCTCTGTTCAGTATGTAGCTGGCCTTGGCCCTTCAGACTGCCTCTGGTGGGCTGGAAAGAGGAGGGGGAAAAGCATCATCCTTCCTTGGCCAGGCACCCACAGTGGGAGGGGATCCCGGAGGGGGATATTGGTCCTGGCCAGGAGTTTCACAGTACCCAAGGGTTTCAGTTTGGGATGCTGGGTCAGGACTCTCATTTGTTTTCCAAGTCAAACTTGAGCAGCCTTTTAATCACCTAATCCTGCCACCCCCTGCGTGGAGGCATTTAACTGCAGTGCAAAGAGAGGGTGCTGCTCAATGCCTGGGTATCCAGGCACAGCCAGCAAACAAACGCGGCAGTCAAAGATCTCAGCTGGAAGGACAAACATTGGGGAAAAACTTCAAAAAGCTCAGCCTTGGGGCCCTCCCCCTTGCAACTACGCCCACCCTAGAGGGAATGCAGGTGCTGTGGCTGGAATCAATGCATTAGTGCAATGGACTTTTCTCCTCCAGTTAAAGTTTTACTTTGCTGGAGACCAGTGCAAAGATTAGTGGTCTTACGCTCATCTTTTTTTTTTTACCTCTGTAGAAAGGACATTTTGCGCTCATGTGAAGCCTGCCTGACTGAGAGCATCATCCAATGAGTGGCTGTAACTTGGCTGCCAGACCCATCAGGCCCTTATCTGGAATGTAATGGCATTAATCAGCATTAACCAGGTTCTCAGTGGATTGAGACTTTGGCACGTCTGCTGTAGATGCCTCCATCCACCCCTGCAGCTCCTCTCACTGACGATGTCAAGGACAGCAAAGCCTGAATGAGACCAGCTCGTACCAAAGTTCACGATGAGTGAGCCAAGCCAAAGGGCTGTGATGTTGGCAGCATCAGCAGTATTTGCCAGCACCAGCACGATCTGCTGGCATCAGCAGTCTCTGACAGCGCTGCCATCAGCTGGCGCTGCTGCAAGCTCAGCCACCACGGGCTCCTGGAGGAGAACGCCTGTTGTCATCTTCTGGGCAATTTTGTTGTGTTCTATCCCCAGCTCCACTCTGAGCTGTCTAGTCTGAATGCTGGGCATGCACACACACAGGTGTGTCCTGGTGTTACGGCTACAGGTTTCTTAGCACTGCAGCTGTGTGGTGAGGGGCTGTGTGCAGGTATGTATGGACACGTATAGAGACACCTGTGTACAGCTGCACTCACCTGTGTTTGGCTGTGTATGCTACACACACACCCCAATACATTTTAAAGCAGGTAGCAAGTGAAATCTAAATAAAACACTCTATTCCTCGTTTTCTAGCTTCGTTACACATGCTGGAAAGGATTCTTCTTGCTAATTCAGCAAGAGGTTTGTCCTGTAGCACACAAACCCAGCACAGGGGCTGAGGAAGGTGCTGTACGTCTCAGGCTGTAGCGTGGCCCCAAGTCCCTGGCGTGTCATGTCGTGGGACTGTTCAGCTGAGGGACAGCCCCAGTCCAGCCTTTCATCTGGATCATTTGCATTTCCCAGGTCCACTCCATGTCTTTGCCAGTCTCCTGCTGTTCTGTTTGTCCCCCCAAATACAGGATTGGTAGTGGCTGCTCTGAGCCACATTCCACATGGAAGCCTTGGGTTTCTCATTAACTCCAGAGGTGATATAGTCCCATCCCTTGGAGCACCAGCCACTTTTGCTGACTCCTCTCGTCTCCATCCCAGCCCTGCTGTCCCTCCTTCACTGCCAAAGCTCCTGCCTTGCTCCATAGCCCAGGACAGTGACTGCTCCTGGGAGGACAGTAGAGGACCTGCAGGATGGACAAGAAAAGCAAAATACAAGCAGAGAAGGTAACTATGGCTCGGTGGTATTTTTGCACTAGAATTTCTGTGGGAGCCCAGCACTGAGCAACAGTATTTTCTGCTCACCAAGATGAAAACCAACAAAAATCCAATCCTCTCCCCAAGTTAATTGCTCTTTGATATCTGCATCCTAAGCGCAGGAGCAAAGGGGTCAAGGGATTATTTTTTAAGAGCTCCATTCAGCTAATCATCAGGTAATTTTAGCCATGATGGAAGGAAATAATGCTTGAAACATCACTGCTGAAAGCCAGAGGTTTTTCCCCAGCAGTCCTGCTCCAGCAGTGGTGCTGCCCATGCACTGGGGATGGTGCAAGGCAGCAGAGTCCCAGCACAGGTCACTCTTTGCAGGGCAATGCCACTCTGCTCTGGAGCCTGATCCTGCCCACCCCAGGGTCTTTCCCTTCTCTTATGGAGCCTGACAAAACACCCGTGCTGCTGCAGCAGCATCCAGGGGTCCTGCTGTCGCAGCCAGCTGGGGAGCAGGGTCCCTTGGGACAGGGACAGGGTGCAGCCCCTGGGTTTTGGCAGGGCCAGGCCAGCAAGGTGAGGCTGGTCTCTGCTTCCTCCCTCAGCACCTCACAGGAACGCTGATCCTCTCCGTCTTCACTGCGGTGTTGGGCTTCTTCCAGTACGGCTACAGCTTGGGTGTCATTAATGCCCCCCAGAAGGTAAGCTGCACTCCCCTCCTGCTCCCAGGCAATGTGCAGCCAAGGGCTTCAGGGCAGCCAGGGCTGGTTTGTCCCCTGCAGAGCCCTCAGAGGGCTCTGTCCCCCCCCCAGGCGCTACCTCCCGCAGTGCAAAGCCCCTACCATATGTGTGAGGCAGCAGGGAGGACCCCCTGCTGCCCAACCTCCTGGGAAAGGAGACACAGCCTCTGCATGTCACTGTGCTGTCCCCACTGCAGAGTGGTCCCCACAAGCCCAGGGACGTACAGCACCTCCCCACAGGAGCTGAATCTGGACACCGCACTCACTCCTCCCCAGAGGTGGCACTGGATGGGGGGGGGGGGGTGCAGGAGGGATGCTCCATGCCTGCCCATGCCATTCCTTCTTGCCAGGCTCCAGGTGCCTGGGGGCTGTGGGGACCCCAAGATTCCACCCCTGCAGAGCCTGTGATGAAAAACTTCTCCTGGGGTGGGAAAAAAACCCAGAACAGGATCGGGGTGGTTATAGGTTTGAGCCAATGTAATTTTCCTCTTTGCCTGCCACAGGTGATAGAAGCCCACTACGGGCGCGTGTTGGGCATCACCCCCCCGGACAGAGTTGCCACCAACACCTCCGGGGAGGATGGCACTGTCCCCGTCCCCAGCACGGAGCCCTGGGGCAGCACTGAGGGCACACTGGCATCCAGAGCCCACCCCGACGAGGACCTCGGGGCCTCCCAGCACGTCCTCACCATGTACTGGTCCCTCTCTGTCTCCATGTTTGCTGTTGGGGGGATGGTCTCCTCCTTCACCGTGGGCTGGATCGGTGACCGGCTGGGGAGGTGAGAGGACCTGGTGTGCTGCAACTCGTGTGCCACAGCCCTAGCCCTTTTCGTTTGATTTTTAACCCCAGGACTGTTTCCTCTCCGTAGAAATAACAGTTTGTGTTCTTTTCCCCAGTTTAATGAAAAGCAAACCCCTCAAACCTCCAAAATAATGTCTCAACCTTCACAGATTATGGCTTATGAAAATCCTCAATTATTATATTATAATAGTAATAATTATTATTATCAATCCTCAGATATTTTATTACAACTTTTAGCTGTGAGCGGCCTTGACTAGATTCCAGATTCCCCCTTTCTTCCTATGGAAAAAGGGAGAGGAGGGCACCCGAGCAGCCTCTGCACAGGATGGACAGTTACTTTTAGCTACTCTGGTTGCACCCTTAGCCCGATCATCATTTTCCCCCCGTCGTGCTGGTTCAGCCCCTTGATGGCTCTGCCTCTGTGTGACGACGGCTGCTCTGGCTGGGAGAGGTGCCAGAAGGAGCTGTGCTGCTGCTGCCTTGCAGGGTGAAAGCCATGCTGGTGGTGAACGTCCTCTCCATCGCCGGGAACCTGCTGATGGGGCTGGCGAAGTTCGGGCCGTCCCACCTGCTGATCATCGCCGGGCGAGCGGTGACGGGGCTGTACTGCGGTAAGACCCCCAGGGTCACCCCCCCTTGCCAGGCTGCTCAGCTCCTGGGCACTGCTCCAGGGCTGCAGCAGCAGTTTCTCCTCTTCTTGCATCTTTTTGGTTTAGTTCAGAAGGGGCTTCACAGGTGGGCGTTCCCCTCTTCCCCTTCGGTCTGTCCTCCTCAATCCACGGTCTTTCCCAGAAGTGTCTGGATTGGTTCTGTCATGAAATCAGTTTATTTTATGTATCCTAGAAAGCAGAGAGTCCCTCCTCTGTATCTGCAGGCTAGTTCATGCTGGTGGCAGTTGTAAGAGTGTGATATTAGCCATGCTGTTTTCAATAGGTTCCCTAGACAACAGGACTATCTAGCAGATAGTACAGGAGCACTGTACATTGAGAGAATAAGATAGTAGGCAACTAACATGGAATTACACAAGGATTAGCTTGGAAATAGCAGCTCATTATCACTGCTACTGGTACACAAATACAACACTTTGCTCCAAAGGTTCAAGGCAAGTTTAAGAAAGCTCTTTGCTCTGTGATAATTTCTCCCAGCAGATGATCTCTGCTCCATGCTGATATGTAGGTGTTCAAGTGTAAAGGCTTCCCAGCTCAGGACTCTGAATCCAGGGACATGGAGCACCGCTGCAGGGTGTGGGTGGTTCCCAGGCAGGCAGCAGGCACTTGGTGGAGTGTGGGATGCAGCACAAAGGAGGTTACATCCTCCTTTCCTATTTGGGAAGTGGTTTCTGCTGGTTGCTGAGCTGTGATCTTGAAGAGGTGATGCCCACATGTGCTTGGTGCAGGGCTCTCCTCTGGACTCGTGCCCATGTACGTCAGCGAGGTGTCTCCCACGGCCCTTCGAGGAGCGCTGGGGACATTGCACCAACTTGCCATCGTCACAGGAATCCTCATCAGTCAGGTAAGAAGGAAAGTGCATGAGTTCAGAGAGGGTATTTCAGAGGTTATCATCATTCCACCCCAAAACTGATGGAAGGTGGGAAGCAATCTGCTCTAGTGGGGTTAAACTCCTACCTTGAGTCAGAGCTGTCCTTAACAAAGATGATTTCTAATGAAAGAAAAACAGACTTTGGCAAACAATTTCTCTCCTCCACTGGAAAGGTTTTAATTGCCTCTCATCAGTCAGGCTGGATCCTGAACATGAGATCCCTGATGTTCAGGTACTCCAAAATGGTTCCATTAAGAAGCAGGGAGTCCAACATCTCCATCAGCATTTCCCACTATGGCAGGAGTCCCAGTTACATGACAGTCTGGCACATAAATGTCCCAAGAACGAACACATCCAGAAAAACTTAGTGTAACCACAAAGTTCATCTAACCTGACTTAGCCCCCAGACCACGAGGAAAAAAAAAACTTCACAAGGTAGGTTCTGCCAGCTTCACTGGCTGTGGGAATACAAAAAATGCCTTATGGAAGGAAAAAAGTTGCGAGTACTCACAACCCTTCTGGAGAACCTTTTCCAACCACAGACAGAAGCAAAGCTCAAGTTATCCTGTTTGCTGAGCCTTACGCTGCACTACGGCCCTGGTGCTCAGCTGGTGGCCAGGCAGCTGGGGCATCCTGTGCTGCATGGACCTCTGCCCAAGCTCTGTGCCTTTAGGGAGCTGCTTAGGACACATATGCCTCTGAAAACTCAGGGTAGCACAGTCTGAGGAGAAAACATTTCATCAGCATGCCTGCATTTGCTGAGCTGTTAACACAGTGTTCTGGACAGGCACCAGTCTACTGCTGGTTCCAAGGAGGATTGAGTCACCCCAGGGTGGGAAACAGGCTTGCAAAGGTTTGTCCCACAGCACCCATAAGCCAAAGTCTCACTCATGACATTTTATGCCATCTGTTCATTCCCTTCTTGTAAATGTGGAGCCACAACTACAGAGAAAAAAAAAAAAATGTTAGGACTGAGAATTGGTATTTGCTTCTAGTCTTCTCCCAGGTTGCCACTTTGAAATGCCACAGTGGCCAATCACTTGCTTTTTCTAGAGTGCAAAATAAGCCATTCACACATGCCTCAATTATTCCAGGTCCTTGGACTAGACTTTCTCCTGGGCAATGACGAGATGTGGCCCCTGCTCCTCGGTCTGTCTGGTGTGGCTGCCCTCCTGCAGTTCTTCCTGCTCTTACTCTGCCCAGAGAGCCCCCGATACCTTTACATCAAACTGGGGAAGGTGGAAGAAGCTAAAAAAAGTAAGACACACATTTTGGGCTTGTCTGGAGTTGTTTTCTTACTACCCATAGTATTAAACACAGGAGGAAAAGCCCAGCTGAGGGCTCACGCATCTAACTGGGTATAGTTGCTCCATCCCACACAGCACATCTGTGGGATTTTGGACACTTGCATATGGTCACTTTTGCTTCTAAGTTTCTGCAGGTGGTGTGAGCCTTCATGTGTCACTGCTTTTCATCAGAGAGTTCACATCTAGCAGATGCCACTCCCAAAAGCCCCATTCGTTTGGAAGAGACTTCAACCAGGTGTAAAAATGGCATTTTTTGCAAAACCAACATGCTTGATGTGCCACAGGAGTCCTCAGAGCAAGAGGACAATACTGTGTGGTTGGCTTACCCTGGGTTTGGCTAGGGAGGTTCTTGTCCTTACTCTATTCCGTGTCAACCATTGAGAATAAAATGTTGGTCTTTGTTGTGTTTTTTTTCCTTAAGGTTTGAAAAGGCTCAGAGGAAACTGTGACCCCATGAAAGAGATTGCTGAGATGGAAAAGGAAAAGCAAGAAGCTGCTAGTGAAAAGAAAGTCTCCATAAGGCAACTTTTCACCTCTTCAAAGTACAAGCAGGCTGTCATTGTGGCTCTGATGGTGCAGATATCTCAGCAGTTCTCAGGGATCAACGCAGTGAGTCCCCAAAACACATTTCCCTGTAAAGAAATCCACATGGGGCATGAAAAGGCAATGCTGGCTCCATCCAAGCCTTGCAAGGGGGAAGAGGAGGCTTTCCTGTAACTGCAGGAGGCCCCTCAGCCACCACCCTTGGTGTTGAAAGTGGACCCCAGTGCTGAGCTGGGCTGCAGGGAGGCAGGAGGGGAGAAGCATGTGAGGGAGTTCAGCATGAAACCAGCTGGCACAGCAGTCCACACTGAGCTGTCCCATGATCTTCCTCACACCTGAGTTCAGCAGCAGTTTGTTCTCTTTTAATGACTATCCCAGGAACTACATGATCACCACCTATTAGATATTTCTAGCAGCACTTCCTGGAATATCAGAAATTACTGGTTTATATCTTGAAGTATGGAGCTTTCTTTTCAAAATGGGCTTAAGACTCCACTTTTTTTCAAGTCTACCTCCTGCCCTTAAATGTCCAGGAGATGGGAATCCCCTTATTCTTTCAGAGAAGGGAGAAACCCAGGTCATTCCAAAGCAGTGAGAGTATTTTAAAATGCATTTAAAAACCAGTCATATTAAGGTCTGCAGCACTGAGTGCTGGTGATCTGGCTTTCAAGATTAATCATGGGACTACAGGAAAGAAAACTGTTTTAAATGTGCAAATGCAGTAGCTAAGGAAGGGAATTTCAATGAGATTTTTAACTCCCTCGGGCTCCTTTGAAAGTTTCAGCTTTAATTATTATAACAAGCCATTTTAAAAGTTGAAAAACTAATAATAATTAAATTACTTCACATCTTAGCCAAGCAAGTGCAACCCTTCTTTCAAGAGAACAAAAAGTTCCACCAGCCCTGTTGCCTAATCCTTCATCCTAATGTATTTTGATAGATCTTTTACTACTCTACGAACATTTTTGAGAGGGCTGGAGTTGACCAGCCAGTTTATGCAACCATTGGCGTTGGAGTGGTGAACACAGTCTTCACAGTCATCTCGGTAAGTAAGCTACAACATGGTTTGGAAACATGATTCCACCCTGGAGCTGGGGCTGACCCTGCACACCTTATTCACAGGAAAAATTATTCCCTGGGCTGGTCTTATTTGAAAAACCAAGCCTTGAAATGCAGTCCCTTGCTATCAAACAGCACTGCTAAATGCTTCACGAGTGTAAACTGCAGCGTTGTGCTCAGGGAAGCTCTGGTAGCTCAGCATTTCCACAGAATAAAAGCTGTCTTTGAGACTGACATTCTGTTGGTCCTGTTGCCCTGGGGGAGGAGGCAGAGATGGGGTTGTGACAGGGAAGCCAGGAGCTCAGGATCTCCCTCTTCCCTGTTATCTTTCCAATTGTTTTCTGTATGTACATAGCACCTGCCCGAGTGATATCCCAAGGCTAATCCAGAGTAACCAAAGTAAGTCAGTGCCTATTCCCATCATATCTAAACTAAGAAGATGGTTCTGTTTTCACAGCCTTTCCCTCCATTTGTCCCTCTCCTGAGAGTATTGACACAGTTCCAATCAGCAGGCAGTTATTCTTTTACTGTGGTAATTAATAGAAGCAGATCAGGAAAGGCCAAACCTGTTTCCCTCACATCTCTAGTGAGACTTTGGGAGCAAAGAATCTTTACCCACCACAAAGCAGGACTAGCAAGGTGGAAACACGCAGCTCTGAGAGGTCTTAGTCCCGTGTGCATGAGACAGGCGGTCTTGGGGTGAACCTGCTTTAGAGGAAGTCCATCACAGATCCTATACAGAGGAGAAACTGTGATGTTTATTGTGAAAAAAGGCAGGGAGCTGTGTGGCTGAAAGGTCTTCTTCCAGCTTGGACAGTCTCTTGCTGTTCAATCGCTGCCCCAGGGCTGTGGTATTTGCAGCCTGGGGCATTTGCTCTTTGTTTCCTTGCTTCTTTTGGCCATGAGCACTTAAAAATGTCCTGCATCTGTCAATAAATGACAGACCCTGAGCAGAAGGCAGAAGCATGGTCAGGTGGACCTTGGCAAAGGGAGCTGGGAGAGCAGAGGCCTGCCCTCTGCAGCTTCATGAGTTAGCAGGACAAACTGCCTCCAGAAAATGAGATGCTCTCCTGGAAGCATAAATAATTTGCTGGAATGGCAAGAAAAGTTGAGCTGGTGTCTGAAGTTGTTCTCTCAAGCAGAGGGGAAGGAGCATGCAGCCTCAAAGGCTAGTTGGTGGTATCTTTGGGCAGGTCAGATACAATGTCCTCTGGAGTTACCCACATCTCCTCATTGGGTAAAGTGATTGGTAGAGGCTCAGATGTTCCCAGTTGGGTGAGATGACTGGAGCCCACCAAGAGGAGTTGAGAAGGAACAAGCTAAGCCTTGGGGCTACCAGGGAAACAAAAGGAATCTAGGAGCCATTGAAGAGCCAGAAGGGCAGGAGTGTGGTGTGGCAGTGGTAATGGGCTGCTCCTTGCTAAGGGGCCTGATGGAATCTCCTGAGAGCAGCAGTGCTGGAGACTGAGCTGCTGCACGTGTTCCCACAGGTCTTTCTGGTGGAGAAGGCGGGCAGGAGGTCCCTGTTCCTGGCTGGTTTGATGGGCATGTTAATAAGTGCTGTGGCCATGACAGTTGGACTTGTGCTCCTGGTAAGGATTTCTCTCTGTTTTTTCTCCATGGTTGGCAAACTAGAGAATACAAAACACCCTTTGAAGTGAATGTTTTGCATTTTCATCTCAAAGTTCAGAAAACACCTGTCCTTAGAAGGGAGAGTTCAAAGTGGCCATAGCTGGAGCCATCTCTGGTTGCAGCGGTGCCTGAGGATGTTGTGCTCTTTGTCCCCTGAGATACCCCAATGCTGCTACAAAGAACATGTGTCCCCTGGCCCCTCCCTGAGCCTACTAACCACCTCAGCTCCTTACACAGCAACTGCACTATTCCCACGGCATAATGCCTTGCCTGCTAAGAAAACTTAGAGCATATCACCATGTGCAAGCCCTGTATGGACTAAACCCTCAACCTGCACCTCCCTGGCTTGGTGCAGTGATGCTGCAATAGCATCTTGTCACAGAAAAAGGGACACATTATTCCTCCCAACACCAGGAGAAGGGTCAAGCTGTGAGACACAGGGCAGAGTAGGCAGAGGAAGGAGCCAGCCCCCATCATCAAAGCCAAGCCAAACCATTGATGCAAACTCCTGTAAAACCAATTGAGGGGTGGCCTCCTGTACTGAACATCCTGGTTACTGAAGACAACATCATTTTATCTCTTCCTGACCAAGAGAAGGAGAGGGCTTGAAGGTACAGATGAGCTGATAGCTGTGAGCTCCAACACCTCTCTGCAAGTGGCAGTGCTGGTGCCAGCACCTGGCACAAGAGTTTAGAGCTTCAGTTGTGCACGTTCAGCCACGGCTTGTCTGAATAGAAAGCAAAATTCTGAAAGAAAAAGCCTAATTAAAATAATTAGCGATAATTACTAAGAGCCACGTTGAGACCGTAACACCACGTGCACCCTCTTGCAGAGCCGGTTTGCCTGGATGAGCTATGTCAGCATGGTCGCCATCTTCCTCTTCGTCATCTTCTTCGAGGTTGGGCCCGGGCCCATCCCCTGGTTCATCGTGGCCGAGCTGTTCAGCCAAGGGCCCCGTCCCGCCGCCATCGCCGTCGCCGGCTTCTGCAACTGGGCCTGCAACTTCATTGTGGGAATGTGTTTCCAGTACATAGCGGTGAGAAACCCCTCCACAGCCCTACCTATAAAGGACTGGCACCACCCCGCTGCGGGGCTCCCCCAGCAGCCCAGCGGGACGTGGAGGTGCCTCCCAGGTCTCCGAGCCCCGCAGGGGTTAGAAGGGGAAGCCACCTCAGCGGTGCTGACGGTGACGTCCCCTGTCCTCCCCCTCCTCCCCGCAGGATCTGTGCGGGCCGTACGTGTTCGTGATCTTCGCGGCTCTGCTTCTGGTCTTCCTCCTGTTTGCCCACTTCAAAGTCCCGGAGACGAAAGGGAAGTCCTTTGAGGAGATCGCAGCCGTGTTCCGCCGCAGGAAGCTCCCGGCCAAGTCCGTGACGGAGCTGGAGGACCTGCGAGGCAGCCGGGCGTAGACGTGGCCGCGCACCCAGCACGGAGGGACGGAGCACGGAGCTCCTGCAGGTGCTGTGGGAAGAACCTTGGGCCAAAGTCTCCTTTCACAATGACCGTGCAGCGGGCAGAGCAGGGGGAGCCACCCGTCAGGTGCCTTCTGGCTGCTGCAGCTCACACTGCCCAGACACAGGCGCTGCCCTGGCATTTTACTCTGAAATAAGTCAGTAGGGCTGGGCTGCAGGAAGAGCTGGGGAGAGGAGGGGAGGAATATGTTACATGTGTGTCTCCATGTCCCAGTGGAAGAGCCCAGCGCATTGATGATCTACCTGGTTGGCAAAGCATGACACTGAGCAGGGCCCTCCCTCGGCGGGAACAGAGGAAAGAGGGGCCTGGTGATGCTGTAGCCTCCTGTTTTCACCTTTTTGTCCCACGCTTCCTGCTTCCTTCTGCTGAGTGATCTGCTGCCTTGAGAAACCAACTGCTAGTGCAGTTGTGCAGCCAGCACATGGCACCGATCACCTGAGGTGCTAAGGAAAACAGACTGAGAAAATGCCCCCTTACTCTTGCCTGTGCAGAGGAAGAAGATGGATCCCACCTGAATTAGTTGGGATGCACCTTGTTTGCTTTGCTGCCCATGCCTTGTGGAGATTGAGGGTTACAGAGCACTGGAACAGGCTCCCCAGAGAGGTTGTGGAGTCTCCTTCTCTGGAGACTTCCAAGACCTGTCTGGATGCCTTTCTGAGTGATCTGTCCTAGATGTGTGTGGTTTTTTGGCCCTGCTCCAGCAGGGGGTTGGACTCTATGATGTTCGGAGGTCCCTTCCAATCCCTGATATTCTGTGATTCTGTGAAATGCTGCTCAATCTCATAAGGATTTCTCAAGTCATGGCATTTTTTAGGAGAAGCTGAGAAACTCAGGCTGGGCTGGTGTGCAATTTTTTTCTTTTGTTTCAGCCAGACTATTTACCTCCTCTGTCCTCCTGAGAAGCCTTTCCTCCCTCCTTTTTATCCCTGCTGCAGCACAAGACACAGCAAATCATTGACCACACAAGGGGCTCAGGCACTCAGTCAGGTCAGGAGACTTGAGTCTTGCTGCCATCCCTCCCAGGCTGTCACCACCACCAGGTCACCTCTCGCTGCTCCTCCTTCCCACCCTTTGTGTCTGCCTTCCCTTCCTTCTGCACGATGCTTAGACCCACGGCTCCAGCTCCAGCCCAGGCCTTGGGCTGCCCATGCTGTGACAAGTAATGAAAACCCAAAGGGGAAACAGGTACTGCAGCCTTAACTGGAAGGTGCTCTGCTGGTCTGACCTTCCCTTTGCACCACTCATGGGTTTGCTGGCTGGATGTGCTCCAGCCAAGATAGCATTTGGGCAGGAGGTTGTGTTGTTCCTGTAACCTTGTCTGTGCTCATGTTGTTTCTTCATGAGACCCTTCTATGTGACAAAATCAAACTGCACGGATTCTTCTTCCTTTTTGGGAGAGATGTTGGAATCATTGTAGAATTAAGATTTGCATGTTCCTTGTTGTGCTACCAGGCTATTTATTAGCAATTTTCTCAGGATAGAAACCCATTATTTATGTAGAGATGAAGCACCAGCAGTGCTTGGTCACTGTGAGCTCATTGTGACTGTCAGTGAAGCTGTGACCACAGTGTGACAGTGGATGGAACTCGGTGAAAAGCATGAGAACAGGTGGGCCAAGGAGGACTGCAGGCTGCTGCTGTGGGTTTGATTTTAGGGAAGGTTCCTGCTCCATTCCATGTGCCTGAAATCCTTTGTAGACTTTACTCTCTTGTTAAGACCCTAAAGCAAATTCTGGGAAGTGACTGAAGTGTAGCCACAAGGTCCACTGGGCCTCTGGCCACGGTCTGTGATATGAAGCCATGAGATTGCTCCAAAGGCTTTCCTGGAGTGTCTGCTGGGTTTTAAGTAGAGAAGAACTGGGTCAGTGCTGCCATGTGCTGCAGCAGTGGTGGGCCTGGGGCTGACACAGGCATCCAGGGCATATGGAACCAGAGGCCAGGCTGCCACACACAGAAGACAACAGCAGGGCTGAGGCACAGGCTCCGGGTCAAACACTTGGTGTGTGTGCTGTGAACAGGTCTCCACAGCCAAGACTAGCATGGCAGGCTCAGCTCTCCGTGGTGTCTCCTGCAGTTAGTTAAATATTATAATGGATTGCCTGAATGTCAAATCGGAGGGGGAAAAAAAGAGACAGGTTCTTGCTTTCAGCAATGTTATCCATGTCTGTTACATAAAAGTGACAATGAACAATGTCTACAGCATGTGTTGGCTTGCACTGTTGTTTGTTTTTCTCCCTTGGAACATCTCAGATTTAGGTCCAGCTCCAGATAGAAGGTGTTTTCCTGGTAGGATATGTTTTCTCCATAGGTGGTAATTGCTGTGCAAGCCCTCAGCTAGACCCCTTTGAAATGCATGGTCCGGAAGAGAGACTGAGGGGCTGGGAGGCAGAAGTCCCAGGGAGGGACAGCCCTGGAACCCTTGGGAACTGGCTCTGCATCAGGATGAACCCTCACTGGAGGTGTGCTGACATCTAACCCCAGCCATCCCCCACCACCCACCTGTAAAACCCCACTGTGCAGCACACCTCTGCTTGCATGGGTGCTGCTGCAGCTTAAAACGTGGTGCTGGGGCCTCTCTAAGCAAGATGGGCAAGAGGAGCATTTGGGGAGAGATGGGGCTCAAAGCAGATTTGCCACTGCTCCAGGGGCAGAGCCAGGCTGGGTTCCTTCCAGGAATGAGAGGATGGGACAGCAGAGGTAGGGTGGCAGGGAGGATGCTGGCACTGGGGTCCTGGATGTCCCTGCTTGGTCCTTGTCTGCCAAACAGTCTGTGCCAACAGAACAGCTCGAGCTACAGCGACGCCATGGTGATTGAACGTAAGATCATCCCAAATGGCTTTGCTACACCTCTGCTGAGCTTTGTCTGAATGCCTGAAGGTCACCAGGTAGTGACACTGTCAGTTTCTCGGCAGAGAGGGGACATTTAGCAACACTGAGCAGCTAGCCTTTGCTTTCCCGTGTGTAACCGAGTGACTGGTGAAACCCTGATCCAAGGAGGGTCGTGCAGCACACACGTGAGCTGACCAAAGCCCACAGCACTAACATCACCCACAGCCACACTCCTGAACCCCCCAAAGATCTGCCTGGGGGTTCAGAGGAACTTAAGTAAAATGACTCTGTCAAAACAGTTGTCAGCTGAAAGCTGTGTGTCCAGGTAATCCAGCTTTCACTCCTCCTTCATCCTACCCCTCCACAAACATTTTGGCTAAGGTCTAGCAAAGACCATGGAGCTTGAAGCAGGAGTCTCAGCACTAGCAGACTTCATATGCCAAAACTATTTTTTCCCAGTGTGCTGCCAGCATGTTTCCAATTCACTGGGCTATCGAGTTGCACCCCAAGGTTCAGACTGTGCTTCCTCACAGTAGCTGCTGAATTTAAGGGAAGTCAATCTTCTCCTTCCAGGCTGGGACCTCCCGAGAGGGACCCTTTTGGGCCACAAGTGGACAACACGCCTCCATGCATTCTACCATTGTAATTTCATTTGTTTGTACCTTGCCCTGGAGACGATGTTTTGCTCATCCTGTGATGTTTCAAATCAATTCTGCAGGGCTGCAGCAGGGCAGACTGCAGCCTGGGACAGGGTGTGCAGAGCTCAACCCTTGTCCTCACCAGGGCCGTGGTGGAAAGATTAAGCTGACAGGCTGGGCTATCTCAGGTGCACTTTTACCATGTGTGGCAATGCAGGAAGGGGGTCACCCGAGTTGGTTAAATCTGCAAATATGTTTACTTTTGTCTTGTCACATCAGGCTGGTAATTAGGACTGTACATTTTATCTGTCCCTGCTACATGCAAAGTTCCAGTTCAAACCTGTTCTTGAGACACAGCCCTTTGACTCGTTATTTTTATCTCTCAGCGTTACAGTTTTACTAAGTTGCTAATCATTAAGAAAATTTAAAAGACCAAGTCATACTTATTAGCTAAATGGTCATTGCACTTTAGTTAGCATGAGAAATATGTTCCCATAGTGTTGTTGGCTAATAATACAGTATAATTAATAATCCCTGAGAAAGCATCTTGTCAGCAAGAGCCTTGACAGTGTTTTTCCTAATGTGCTGAGATGACAGCCATTAAGACTTTCCTGTTGTGTCAGATAAATGGCTAATGATATCTTGTTTCCCACTCTCTAGGCATAATTTTAAAATTAGTTTGACTTCCCTAATCCAATAAACTCAGGACATTTGGCCCCATTAACACTTTCCACACTAATTCATCACAGATTTTTCTGCCTCACTTCAGCTTGTTTTTCATCACTGAGAAGCACCACCCTCCACCTCATGTGTCCAACAGCTGATGAGGATGAAGCTAAACCAAGTCCTATGTAGGCACAGCCCAAGCCTTTGAGGCACAATGTATTTTCCAAGGTGCTCAGTGTCCTCCTTACCTTTTCCTGAAATCTATGGAGGCTGAGGAATTACAAGGCAGGACATCAAGTCCAGATCCAGCAACACAGGAGGTTTGATTTAAGGTAACTGAGCCAATGCTCAAGTGCTTCTCTAAATCCTGAAGCAAGGCTGGGACGTTTTACAGCTGGAATAGCTGTGCTGTAGGAATCTCCTGTGCAGCAGGGTGGCAATGAATCCTGGCTGTAGATCAGCAGCTCCAGGCTGTAGGTGTAGCTGCAGCCCCGTGGTTTGGGCAGTGTCTTGTGGGTTTGCCTTCCTGTATTCTGCCTAGGAGAGAGCAGCTCTCATGACTATGCAAAGCATCAGGGCCCCAGGGTCATGGGAGGAATATTGCTGTTCTAGCACCACTGCAGCCCCAGGAGGAGGGAATACTGGAGTTGCCATGTGTCTTCCCTCTTCCTAGCAGGAGCTGCATGTGGTTTCTGCCAGCTCAACATTCCTTTCATTGTCACCACTTGCCTCTGATCTCCAGGATGTGTCTAGGGTAACTCCCTGGGTAATTTAGACAGGGCAGCCATCCACATTTGACCACATTTATCTGCTGGGCTGTTGTGTGGGTCATCAAAAAGCTAAGGGAGGAGCAGGATGAGGCAGCACTGAGATGGTTCTCAAGCATCCCAGGCCATGCAGCCCCTAATAACTGTAGGAACCATCCAGCATCCCAGAATCTCTTTCTCAAGGTTGATGCAAATGTCAAGTGAGTCACTGGCACTGAATTCATTCTTCAGAGGCAGCCAAAGTGGAGCAGCAGATTAAAGCAGTGCCTGGAGCAGAGAGGGGTGCCCTATGGCAAGGTCACTGCAGAGGCTCTTTCATTGGGTTCATGCTACATGGAGGGGCTTGTACGTAGGGGCTCAGAGGATCTGCTGGCTGAGAATGGCACTGTCCTGTGGAAACGGGTTCATCAGTCCCCAGCCTCTCTCTCGTGTCCTCCTGCTCAAGGCTGTGCCTGGAACCAGCGTGAACCCTCAGCCCAATATCAGGACACTCTGGTGGGATCCCAGGTAAGACAGCTCAGCAGCTGACATGGAGACACTTGCTCAAGTGGGAGCAGGGTTGTTTACACTGCTTCACTCACGACCTGTTACTTCTAATCCTGTGACCTGAACCAATTCTTGCTGTATGAGCCTCCCTCTGCTTTCCCGCGGTGCTCACCCCGCACTGAGGGGAGCAGGGCTGGGAACACCTCTGACCACTGCTCTGCAGCTGGCCCTCTGCAGGGCTTTCCTCTGGCACCCTCTGCTGTCCTCCGGACACCCAGGCCACCAGCCCGGCACATGCCACAACACTGACATGTTCCCCAGAGAGATTGCTCCCAGAAGCAGCAGGAGCAAGGGGGCAGCATAAGCTGGGCTGCAGCCGGGGATGATGTTGGTGCCACCACCATCTCCTGCATCCTGGTGGGTTTGCTGGAAACAAGGGGGGATGTTTATCCCAGGGCTGGCTGGAACACATGCACTGGAGGCAAGGCTTTAGTGAGCAGCTTTAGGGCACCAGGCAGTTCTCCAGAACAGATAAAACTTGCACTTCAAACCTTCCAAAGGTTTTCTAATCCCTCATCACTTCTGCCATGCAATTAATATAAAGGCTTGGATAGCAGAACCAAAACTTGATAACACACTGAATCCACTTGAAAGAAAAGAGGTGGGATGCAGTGTGCAACCGTCTGCACACACATGCACAAAAGGAAATATATTTAAATGTGAAAGGCCACGGTATTTACAAATATGCTTTGAAATGGAATTGAAAAGTCTGTCTAAGAAAGCGGCACAATCACGTTACTACTATCAAGAAACACATTTTAGAAAACAAACATTGATCCAGACAAAGGCACAATGCCTGCAAGCAATGACTGATGGAGCTGATTTCCAAGTTTTTAATTGAATCTCAAATAAAGGCTGCCTTAGAATGTTTGGTTTGTGTCTCACAAATATTTATCAGCTGCACTTCAGCAAAAAGACTTAGTTTAGTACAGAAGATCTCTCAGGTAATCCACAATGAATCTGTTATTTGTAGAAAATCAACCCAAGTATTAATCTGATACTTGAGAAAAATCCTCATTAGTGCTTAGCCCCAGGCTGCCCTGATTTGGGATTAAACAGTTGGTAGTTCTCTCACAAAGTTTTTTTTTTAAAGGAAAAAAAGGCCCTAGAGCATGAGCAACTAGTCAAACACTTGGAGATAAGCAGCCACACACAGCAGATGTGAAAACACTTAACAGAATGCCCCAAACTCTGCTTATCAACTGACCCAGCAGAAAAATGGGCAGTTCCCCAGGGTTATGTGGGGTTATCTAGAGGGGGCAGGGTGAGGCATCCACCAAAACCCCAGGAACAGAGGAGAGCCCCTGTCCTGACCTGCTGGAGCACTACAAAGGGCCTCCCTGTAAATGAAAGCCAAACTTACTTCCTTGGGCACACACTGTGCAGTTCTTATGTAACCAAGGATGGGACCACAGGCAACCAGATCACACAGATTAACATGAGCTAAAGAAAAGATGTGGCTTTAAAACTGGCTCCTGTAGCCACCCCATCAGAAGGGAGATGGCAAACTCAGAACCTAAGGGCAGGAAATGCAGGACAGCACATTGCAGCACACGGCAGAGGCCAGGGGACCAGGCTGCCACACACAGCTGAATTTCTGTCTGGTGTTTAAGGCCAAGTGTCACCAGGCAGGGCTCGGCCACACTCACCAACAGCTCCACAGAAATTCAGCCGGGTTTGGTCCAGCAGCTCAAGGGGTGATGGCACCTGACTTGGACAGTTTTGCCAACGGGACCGTTTGGCTTTGCTTTGCCTCCCCTCGGGTGGCAGGGGGGGCTGATGGAGGCAGAGCCACACCCGTGACTGGGAACCAGCCTTCACCGCGGCTCCTCGGCGGCTCCGGGCCCTGCTGACTGATCCGTGTGCGCCTGAAAACCAGCCCTTGTACCAACAGCAGCGGGTCGGGGAGGTGTTTCCGTCCCTCTGCTCGGGGGGGGCCTGCAGGGCTGGGCCCCGGCAGGACACGGGGCTGCGGGAGAGCCCGG